TGACGTGGTAGCACATACTGACCACCAACAGAGTTGAAGCTTGTGTGTCACTGGAAATTAAAGGGCTTAAAGGCTGAAATCCCAACTCAACCTATAGCTGGGTTAGAGCCCATTTCTTGCCAGTTAACTTCTTTATTTTTTTATTTTTCTTTATTTTTTTATTGCTGATCTGATATCTTTACTCCGAATTAAAAATAAACTATTTTTTCATATACTGTAAGAGCATCCCCAGTGCAGCATCTCCATTCTTATTCTACACTTTTACAAAGTGTAGTGCCATGTCAGCAATTGTAGTGACATGGCTCTACACATTTTTTGAAGATTTATTTCTCTTGTTGTGCACACATCTTTTATATTCTACACTTTAGTATTTTATTATTTTAAAATTTACCCACATATTACTAATATACAATCAATTTATTTTATAATATTAAAAGTACACACAAGGCCCAACATTTCAAGTGTACAATGGCTACTTGATTCTACATATTTAAAGAATTGGGTGTGGAATCTGAAGGGGGCCCCACAAGTGTGTAATGTGCATAGTAAGGATATTCATTCAACACTTCATCAGATATTGTGCACTTTGCTTATGCATTGGGGTTGCTCTAAGACTAATTACAAATGACGTATTGTTCATGAATTGGGTTAATAGTAGTTGATAATCGATAAATAATGGATCAAAAGGTCAGGGTTTTGGATTTATATATACCAAGTGTTTTTTTTTTTAACAGAAATAAAATTTATTATTATTATTATTTTTTGGATGTGATAGGTGCAGCTAACTATGGTAATTGGACTATTCTAATTACTTAATGGAGTTCATCCAAATCTATTATCCCAATTAAGGATGGCAATTTATTCCAACCCGGTGGGGAACTGCCCTGCCTCTGCCCCCACCTCGTTTAAAGATGGTTTGGAGAGCCGTTTATTTAAATGGGGTAGGGATGGGGGTTGGGAAAAAAATGTAACGACCCAAATCCTCATGGATCAGGATCATTAAACGGGTTCTTACTCGACCCAGAAACGACCAAGGGTAATACGGTCCTTTCACGTTAAATTCAATTATTGAGGTCCAAAAGGGGTAAGATGGTAATTTCCTACAATATAAGAAGTTGAGACTCAAGGGCATAATAGTCATTTACTTACATCACGCAATAAATAAAATAAGGTCCGGGACAATAAAGTTTTTTCGGTGGTTAAAATATATTTATTGTACTTTGATTGGGTCATAAGGCAAATACTCACAACATCAATTGGGTGCCAAAGTGTAATTAAAAAATTAAAAGAAGAATGGTTATGGGACAAGAACCGGTCGACGTATATACATTATACGTCAGCGGTGTGGGTTATGAACAGTGAAAAAACCCACTGCCGAGATACCTATCGACGTGTGGGAAGCTACACGTCGACTGGTTTGGAACGTGCACAGTGAAAAAACTTACTGTCAGGATACCGGTCGACGTGTGGGAAGCTACACGTCGACTGGTTCACGCAACTCGGTCGACGTATGGGATTTTACGTTGACTGGTTTGGGTCATCCTCTCTCACTGTCACCGAGATACACCAACTTTGAAAGCCAATCACCCACACCACTGCACTCACGTACATACGTAAATACATTTCAACATCTATAATAACAACAACTGCAACATTAACATTAAGGTCCAGGACAATAAAATTTTTTTGGTGGTTAAAATATATTTATTGTACTTTGATTGGGCCATAAGGTAAATACTCACAACATCAATTGGGTGCCAAAGTGTAATTAGGAAAATTAAAAGAAGAATGCTTATGGGACAAGAACCGGTCGACGTATATACATTATACGTTAGCTGGTGTGGGTTATGAATAGTGGAAAAACCCACTGCTGAGATATCGGTCAAAGTGTGGGAAGCTACACGTCGACTGGTTTGGAACGTGCACAGTGAAAAAACTTACTGTCAGGATACCGGTCGACGTGTGGGAAACTACACGTCGACTAGTTCACGCAACTCGGCCGACGTATGGGATTTTACTTCAACTGGTTTGGGTCATCCTCACTCACTGTCACTGAGATACACTAACTTTGAAAGCCAATTACCCACACCACTGCACTCACGTACATACGTAAATACATTTCAATATCCACAATAACAACAATTACAACATTAACATAATTTACCACCCGTTACCAAAATACACTAAAGGATTAAATGATGATAAAACTTAATTACATTACCCCACTGGCATGTACATGCTAAAATCCAAATATTTTACATGTTGAAAAAGTAATACATCCTAAATCAACATCTTTACAAAATAAAGTTCAAGCTCTACAAAAATACATCCAAAATGCTTCCTAAGTGCTCTCAAGCATGAGGTGGATTATCATCCGCCAACTCCTAGCCGTTACTTGATTTTTTTTACATATGGTGGGGTGAGCAATTTGCTCAGTAGGTGGCACTTAAGACATGCCTCTTGTGTCCCCGTGAACCCACAACAAAGAATAGAACAATGGGAATGAGGATCATACTATATCGGGATATTACAACATACTAATCAACCTCAAGTGTAAACAATGTAATGCAATGGAATGCAATGCATGCCGACTTCACTCCCCATTTTTACTTTTAAACTGTCACTTTCAAACTGTTAATATAACCCGCCCTTTGGCCCAGCTAACTCAACCACGCTAGGGCAATCTCCCTAGTTCCCTCTAGGCTATATTAACACTCCCGCCCTTTGGTACCCCCGCGGCGACCGGGTTTTCATAAAACAAGTTCATCAAAACAATTTCCCAAAATTTCCCCTTTCATTTCAAAATCATTTCTCCTATTTCATGCCCAATGCCAATGCATGGATGCTTCAATGCCATGTACATAATCATCATCTCACAACTAGTTCAAATTTAGTCATCAAGGCATACATTCACAAGAATTTTCTAAGAAGAATACAACATGCTTTTATACAATAGAAATCTAGCATGATGGACATACAAATTCAACGCTTAGGCATGTTCTTCACTTAATTCATGTAATACACATAATCACAAACTTAACACATTGTCCATAACAACTAAATAATTGGCTAGATACTACCCAAATTAAGCATGTTAAACAATCATTTATGGGAAATTAATTCACAAAAGCACAAGAACATCATGGATTAAGTGCCCCTACCTCAAATTTGTGCAAAACCTTCAAAATGATTTCCAATATTTCGAAATGCCTATGGAGGCCCAAAGCTGAAATTGTTGGTACTCATGCGTAGAGCTCGTCGTGCTCTCCGTTTTGCCTCAAACGGCACTTAAAAATTCCAAGTATTGAAGTTAGAATCAAAGCTTGAAATTTGAAAATCAAAAGAAGAAGAAAAGGAGAAGAAAAATGGGAGGAGGAGAGGGATTACGGGGAGAGAAAAAGTGAGACCAAAATGGTCTCTAGCCTTACATATAAGTTAGTGGTGGGTCCCACCACTCCCATTTTCATTTTCTCTTTTTCTTTTTGCTTTAATTTCCACACCACACAAATACATGAATCACACATCATACAAATACTATATAAAACACATAAAATAAAATGTATGAAATGCAAGTGGACTAAACCAAAATCCTGTACGAAAAACGTGAAAAGACAGAAATACCCTCGCGGCGATGAAATACTCTCGCGGTGGGGGAAGGGTACCCCCGCCCCGATTACATATGTAATTATTCCTATTAGCCCTGCCATGTTATTTTACTTACCGATTTAACATATTATATCTATAAATATCATATTATATTATATATACACTTCTAAATAAACCATACTCATTCCTATCTTCTAAAGCGGAGCGGAGCATGGAGGGGCAGAGCGGGCGGGGATGGGGTCGGTTATGGAGATTAGAGGTAAAAAAATAATCGGTTATGGGACTATTTTGGAGGTGTCAAATTTAAACGGGGATGGTAATAGAGATGGAGATGGGGAATGAGAAACCCACCCTATTGCCATTGCCATCCCTAGTCCCAATAATTTTGTTCCTTTTAAAGGTAAATGTGAAACACTGAATTTTCATTTTTCCTAGTTCCTTTTGGACTACTATAAAACTACTATTTACATATGAGTTTTAACTACAATAAAAAAATTTCCATTTTTATTGCACAGATTTAAAATAAAGGGCATCGTGGCTCTCCCAAAACTATGAATTGTGAAAAAAATCTTAAATTTCCCTATTAAGGTATTTATTTGGGCAATTTGTGTTTGGAAGATTAATTTTATAATAAAACATTTCATTTCATTTGTATTTGTTGTTTCATAATAGCTGATCTTAGTGTCAAAACGGTAAAGTTGCAAATGAGTCGAGCCTAACTCTGGTCTAACCGTATGTGCTCAAATTTGAGCTCGAGACTAAAACTGATAAGACAAATATTGATTATAATTGCAAACAAATTCTAATAATTGAGAGTTCATGAGATTTATTTAACAAATATATTAACTAATATTTTTCTTGAACATATTGGCGACCTAATTCAAACTCCACAACCCACAACTTTTAGTAAGTTATTGTTTAAAATAAAAAATAAAAAAAACTTAAAATAATGATATAAAGAGTTTAGAAGGTGATATCATCATGATGTTAGTCAAATTACTGCAATGTCATCGGCAACTTACACTTCAATAAAACACTCGACTGATGTCCAATTACATTTCGTATTTTAGCAACCGTAAGTCCCTTTTGTTGAACAAATGCTAACCTAATAAACTTGGTTGTGGTAGCTGTTGATTGCTATATTCTTGTTGGAAAAGTTATCACATAAAAAAAAGGACACATGGACGTACTCTATATATATATATATATGCATGAAAATATTGAAAGCTAGAGTGACTTACATTTATATAACAATTTGTTATTGGTCCTTATTTTCACCTTCAAGTGGGAATAACGTGCACTCAAACAAAAAAAGCTAACCCTCTAGCTTGATTTATATTGTTGGAAACAATACATATACACATACACACATCCATTTCCAAACCCAGGTTCGATCAGGTCACCACCATGTGCACTTTAGAGAAGCGCGAGAACGTCTTCTTCCTAACTCTAACGGGAGACGACGAGCACCTGTTAAACCTGACACTCATAGCTTCTCTCCGTTCGGTTCTTTCCGATGTCAAGTCGCAGTCCAGTCGCGGCTCGGTTTTAATCACCACAGCACAAGGCAAGTTCTTCTCCAACGGTTTCGACCTCAAGTGGGCCCAAGCGGCAGGCTCCGAGTCGACCTCCAGAGACCGACTGATTCAAATGCTCGAACTCTTCAGGCTGGTTGTAGCCGACCTGTTAGCCCTCCAAATGCCAACCATAGCCGCCGTGACTGGCCATGCCTCCGCCGCGGGGTTGATGCTGGCGATGAGCCATGATTACGTCCTCATGAGGAGCGATAGAGGTGTGCTGTACATGAGCGAGCTCGACATAGGACTGCCCATACCGGACTACTTCATGGCATTGGTGAGGTCAAAGGTGGCTTCGGTGGCGGCTCGCCGTGACTTGCTGTTGAGAGCCATGAAGGTCAAGGCGGAGGAGGCGGTGGCTATGGGGATTGTGCACTCGGCGCATGGTAGCTTGGAAGGCACGGTGGAAGCTGCGGTGCGCCTGGGGGAGGAATTGGGCAAGAGGAGGTGGGACGGCGAGGTGTATGCGGAGATAAGGAAGGGAATGTATCCGGAGCTACGTGGCACGCTGGGGTTGGAGGAGAAAACCATATTCTTTCCACTGCTTTGAAATACTATCAAATAACACTGCTAATCTAAGCCTAAACGATTAGTCAAAGGGCTTTTATGTCTTATTAAATATGTTCATGAGTGGAATCCTAAATAAATTTTAGGCTTCTAATTTAGGTCTAGTTTGGATTGAATTATTTGAAAAGAAAAGAAAAAAAAAGGTAAAATAGTGGAAATCATGTTTGATAACCTATAATCATTTTGATTAAGTGATTTGAAATGAATGAATTTTGTGTAATTATTTGAGATAGATGGTTTTAATTTAAGTTTAAGGATTATAGGTGTGAATTTTACATAGCCGCCCCCCCCCCCCCCCCCCCCCCCTTTTTTAATGATAATTTGTTACTTACAAAAAAAGAAGTGTTTTTTACCAAAAAAAAAAAAAACGTTGAAAAAAAAAAAGGGGGAAGAATTGTTGATTTATGTTGTCAATGACTCTAGTTCTACAAAGATTCTAATAAAATGCTTTAGTATATTGATTCATAAACTCATGAATCAAGTCAAGCATTCTTATTTGCAATGTAAATTCATTGAGATTTGAACTTCATTTTTTTTTTTTTTTTTTCCATTAAAATTTTATCAAAAGTTTATTTGAGTTGACTTGATGAACAAAATAGTCCAACAACCTTAAAACTCCAGTCAATTTTAAAAAGAAAAAAGAAAGATAAAGATGATAGTTTAGGTGTGATACTAAATGTATATATGTAATATTGCAGAAGGATAATATGGTATGTTTGGTATGAGTATGTTTCGTGTCTTTGTTTTTATTAGGTACTATAGTAATGAACAGTGAAAAAATGTGTTTGATAAAACATATTTTATGTTAGTCAAAATGTTTTTGTAAACAGTGACAAAAAATTGAATCACCAATTTAGTATTCAACCAGCAGTAATGATGGACAGTAAAAAATAAAATAAAAAAATCGCTGTAATGATGGATAGTTAAAAAAAAAAAAAAAAAAACCTGCTATAATGCTGTACATTAAAAAAAAAAAAAAACGAAAAAAAGAAAAAGAAAAAGAAGTTGAAAAACTATTTTAAACTTAACTATTATATTTTTTAAACTTGTAACACTCTTTTTATCAAATATGTTTCACTTTTAAAAATCTTATAACAAATGTACGTTACTAAGCAGGCTTCCAATTATTATTCAAAATATTCTAAAACAAAATATTTATTTTGTTTTGAATTAACCCAAAATGTCAAAAACAAATCGCGAACCAACAGGCTTATATTTTTACTTAACAATGAATCATGTGAGAGTAACTGTTTCTCACTCACTCCAATTCAATGATTTCCTCAAATATGCTGAAAATTTGTACTGAGGTAGAACAATTTGAATATGAAGAAAGGAAAGTATAATGAAAAAAAAGCAAAATAATCAAATCTGCCTTAAAAAACAAAAAACAAAAAAAAAACAAAAAACAAAAACAAAAACAAAAGAATCAAATCCGGAAATGATCAAAACATACCTTATGAACTCTCCTCCTAATTTGAATTTCTACGAGACCCAATTAAGAATGTAATTTACTGGCTAAATTCAGTTCTTTTCTGAACAAAACCCGACCCACACAATAAAATCATACATTTTTTTAATTATTTTTTATTTCTTAAACAAAACGCTTTGTAATTTTGAAATTAAGATCTCAATAATGTAGATTTGTTATCGCCCGCTCAAGTCCTCATCCGAAAACTTGGGCAAAAACACATGCATGTCTTCAACTAAAGACCTGCACGCATGTCTTGTGAAGTCTTCAGCTCACATGGACGCATGTGCTTCAACCCAACTTTCAGGTGGCGATAACTTTGGGCTGAAAACTTGGGCCTGAGAAGCATAACTCGTGCATTCAACCCAAGAAAGTCAACCTCGCGCTTGATATATAGCCATATAGGTGTGTTGCTTTCATTTCCAAAACCCCGATCAGGTCACCAGTCACCACCATGTGCACTTTAGAGAAGCGCGGGAACGTCTACTTCCTAACTCTAACGGGAGACGACGAGCACCGGTTAAACCCGACACTCATAGCTTCTCTCCGTTCGGTTCTCTCCAATGTCAAGTCGCAGCCCACTCGCGGCTCGGTTTTAATCACCACAGCGCACGGCAAGTTCTTCTCCAACGGCTTCGACTTGAAGTGGGCCCAAGCTGCTACTTCCGCTTCGGCCTCCAGAGACAGGTTTCTTCAAATGCTGGAACTCTTCAAGCCCGTTGTCGCCGACCTGTTGGCGCTCCCAATGCCGACCATTTCCGCCGTAACCGGCCACGCTGCCGGCGTGGGCGTTATTCTGGCAATGTGCCACGACTACATTCTCATGAGGAGTGATCGAGGTGTGCTCTATTTGAGCGAGCTAGACATGGGGATGACCGTACCGGACGACTACATGGCATTTTTGAGGTCAAAGGTGGTTTTGGAAGCGGCTCGTCGTGACCTGCTGTTGAGAGCCATGAAGGTTAAGGCGGAGGAGGCGGTGGCTATGGGGATTGTACACTCGGCGCACGGTAGCGTGGAAGGCACGGTGGAAGCTGCGGTGCGACTTGGGGAGGAATTGGGCAAGAGGAAATGGGACGGCGAGGTGTATGCGGAGATACGAAAGGGGATGTATCCGGAGTTACATGTCATTTTTGGTTTGGAGAAGAAGACCATAGTCTCACTCTCTCCACGTCTTTGAAATACCAAAAAGTGTTTTCTGTGTTTTATTACTTTGGTTGTGGTGTTGCAGTAGCCGAAGAAGACATGCTTACAAATTATAGTGCATGAAAGTAAACTCATGAATCATGGCTCCCATGTCAAATATTTTCTTTGGAAAATATATAATTTTTTTTGGAAAAAATATTTTTTTATTTGTATTTTTCAGTGTTTGACAGAGATTTAGGTTGAAGTTCATGTTGACTTCATCTAGCATGTAAAATAAGTTAGGAAAAAAATTATATACACAGTGGTACTTTGAATGAAAATATTAAGTGTTATTTAATTGGACACTTAGTAAATCAACACTGTTTTTTCATTTTTACATCAAATTTTGAAAGAAAATACATGTTTTCTGTACATTCGTGACTTTAACTTCATGTCTACGAAAGTTACACTCCAAAATTTCATATATTTGTAATATATATATATATATATATATATATATTATGATTTTTCCCACCGGAAGACATTGGCAAAAGCATATGCACCTTCATCCACATGTGAATTTAAGCATAACTTGTTTGTTATTGATCTATCAAGTCTTCAAAGCATAATTATTGGTTGATCAAGTCTTAGCTCTCATGCATCCCGCCAATGCATGTGTTTCTACCCAAGTTTTCAGCTGACGACCTACGTACTCGAAGCATAATTCTATTATTTATTTGGTCTATAGCCTTCGGCTCTGGCGCATCTTACGCATGGGCTTTTAACTGCCTGAAGACTTGAGTCCGAAAAACGTTGGTTATTGGTCCATGTTTTCCATCAAGTGATGTGCATTCCCAACCAAGAAAAGGTACGGTAATGACCCACTTCATCATATGGTATGATATTATTCGTTTTGGGCCTGAACCCGCACGGTTTTGTTCTTGGACTTCACTCCAAAAGACTTCATACCAATTGGAGGTGACACACTTACATATAAGCACTTCACCTTTCCTCTACCCAGGCGATGTGGGACTGTGCATTCGTAACTCTCCAGTGTGGTAGCCTGACAGTGTCTCTCGCACCCGCCCACGGCACACCCGCCCACAGGGTTATCACAATCCACCCCCCTTGGAGGCCCGACGTCTCCATCGGCACACTTCCCGCTGGGTCAGGCTTTGATACCATTTGTAACGACCCACTCCACCACATGATATGATATTACCCGCTTTGGGCTTGAGCCCGCACAATTTTGCTCTTGGGCTTCACCCCAAAAGGCCTCATACTAATTGGAGGTGACACACTTACATATAAACACTTCACCTTTCCTCTACCCAGGCGATGTAGGACTGTGCACTCGTAGCTCGCCAGTGTGGTAGCCTGACAGTGTCTCTCGCATCCGCCCACGGCACACCCGCCCACAGGGTCATCACAGGTACCATCTCTCTTAATATATTTTTGGAGACGCAGGTCACCATCATGTGCACGTCAGAGAAGCGGGCAAACGTCTTCTTCCTAACCCTAACTGAGACGATGAGCACCCGTTAAACCCGTGTAGATACTTGTTTCTCGTTGGTTCTGGAAAAGTCAAAGAAGTTTGGGAATATACCACTTGACAATGTGAGGAATGTAGAAGGGTGGAAGAAGGGAGAAAAAATCAGTCTAGTGTGAGAATTTTGAGCAATGGTAGGGAAGAAGTTGCCGTCAGTTCTCTCCTTTTCTTTTCTGTCACTGCCTCTTTTTATAGCCTTAGGTCATTCAGGTGGTACACTGTTGGGCCTTCATGTTGAGGACGGGTCGGGGTCATGCCTCTTTGGGCCATGTCACCCTAATCCTTATATTTCTGGAGCTGCTGCCAAGTGTACCTCTCTTGTTGAACAATCCAAAAATGGCAAGCTGTAAAGGCAATTGTACTACTCTCGTTGTCTTGGGCAAGGCATTACTAATTTTCCATCCTCCATTCCAAAATCCTTTCTGCATCCCATGGTCACTTGAAGAGTCCTACCATAGCTCTTTATTGCTCCGAACGAGGTTATATTGGATCGAGGTTCAAGACCCGTTGATTGACAGTTTGTGGTTAAGTCGGATCGAGGTTCAAGGCCCATTGATCGACGGTTTATGAAGAGGTCGGATTGAGGTTCAAGACCCGTCGATCGACAGTTGGTGAAGAGGTCGGATCAAGGTTCAAGGCCATTAGTCGACCGTTTTTGAAGAGGTTGGATCGAGGTTCAAGGCTCGCCGATCGACAGTTGGTGAAGAGGTCGGATCGAGGTTCAAGGCCCATCGGTCGACCGTTTATGAAGAGGTCGGATCGAGGTTCAAGGTTGTCGATCGACCGTTTGTGAAGAGGTCGGATCGAGGTTCAAGGCCCGTCGATCGACAGTTGGTGAGAGGTCGGATCGAGGTTCAAGGCCCATCAACTGAATGTTGGGCCAAGATTCGAGGCCCAGTGGTCAACTATTACTTGTCTTGTTGAGGTGGACTTTGTCTCAAATGTTGATCGTTTGTCTTCTTGCTCGAAGATAGTGTCGTAGTGGGGTCATCTTGACTTGACCCTTGGTGATGTGGTTGAACCACATCCACAACCCGACACTCATAGCTTCTCTTTGTTCGGCTCTCTCCGATGCCAAATCGCAGTGCACTCGCGGCTCGATGCCAAGTCAAGTGGGCCTAAGTCGCTGCTTCCGCTTCGGCCTCCAGAGACTGTTTGCTTCAAATGCTGGAACACTTCAAGCTAGCTGTCGACGACCTGTTGGCCCTCTCGATGCCGACCATATCCGCCGTAACCGGCCACGCTGCCGGCTTGTGAGGTATGTTGGCGATGAGCCACGACTACGTCCTCATGAGGAGTGATAGCTAGATGTGTGTTTTATGCGAGCGCGCTTGACATAGGGATGACTCTACCGGACGAGTAAATGGCATTTGTGAGCTCAAAGGTGGCTTTAGCAGTGGCTCGCCGTGACCTGCTTTTGAGAGCCATGAAGGTCAAGGCCGAGGAGGCGGTAGCTATGAGGATTGTAAACTCGGCGCACGGTAGTGTTGAGGGCACGGTGGAGGTTGCGGTATGCCTTGGGGAGGAATTGGGCAAGAGGAAGTGGGACGGCGTGGTATATGCGGAGATACGGAAGGGGATGTATCCGGAGCTACGCGTCATTTTTGGGTTGGAGAAGAAGACCATAATCCATCCCTCTCCACGCCTTTAAAATAGTATCAAAAAGTGTTTTATGTGTTTTATTGCTTTGGTTGGTTGTGTCGTGGCCAGGGCCGGAGCTAGAAATATAAAGTTGGGGGGTTAAAATATATATATATATATATATATATATATATATATATATATATATATTTTGTTAACATGTCTATAAATGATATGTAAAGAAAAAAATGAAAAGACTAACATATGACAGTCGATAAATGAGGTTGTCAAACTAAAATATTTTTTTCTATTTTTAATTCATAACAAACAATATATATATATGTGTGTGTGTGTGCAGTGTGCGCGTACGTATATGCATAAAGCACTATATAATAATAAAGCTGAATATTATATGAAGGATATGAATAGAGTACTAATATGTTATATCAAGATTGTAATAATAACCTTCCAAAAAAAAAAAAAAAAGAGGGATTTGTTTAGGGATGTCAATTTTTACTACCCCGTCCCGCCCCGTTAATAACGGATATGGGAACACTTTTTATACCGTTGGGGTGGGCATGGATACAAATTTTGTACCCGTCGTGAGTCATGAGGCGGGTAAGGGTTCAGTATACATATCCTATGGGCCCCGCCCCACTACGCATATAACTATATTTTATATAATAATAATAATAATAATAACTTATTTTAGCGGCTTACCCAGTTACCCATTTCTTACAATTCTAATTTGGGATGTAAACTTGGTATTAAATTTGCTTTTATTTTGGTTATGGTGGAAGTTGAAACTTAGAACTTCTTGTGATTTGGTTGTATTAAACTTTTATTTTTGTTTATTATGTTCTCTGAATTATGTTATGTGCATGTTATTTTTTTTTTTTATTTTTGTTGGGATATATAATTTCGTTTATGTTGTGCCATTCTCAGGCTTTCCACATTTAAATGGCAGGAGCTTAAGTTCCAAAAAGTGGGAGAAAAAAATTTGCTAGCGGGGCGGGCACGGGGGCATAGTATTTCCCAATGGGGCGGGGTTAGACATGAAAATCTAACCCGTCATGAGTCTCGGGGCGGGCATGGACTTGGTAAAAATCAAAAGGGGCGGGGCGGGATTTAGGGAAACCCACTCCAAACTTGCCTCGTTGCCATCCCTAGATTTGTTAGACTTTGATAAACACAAACAATTTCTTTTGCAAACCATCTTTAGTAACCATAAATAAGTATTTTTTGAAAACTTGGGGGGCCAATTTTAATTTTTTTTATAGTAAGTTAACATTAGTAATTATAAAGATACACTATTAATAGAAGTTACAGAAATTTGGAGGGGCCAATTTAAATTTTTCTATACTAAATTATCTTTAATAAGTATAAATATACACCACTAATAAAGGTTACAAAAAAAATTTGGCCCCCTAGCCACCCCTCCCTCCACCCCTTGTTGTGGCTGTCGGAGAAGAACATAATATATGCTTACTTACAATTCCTTTACCAGAAAATTTTAGTGACAATCTGTTGTCGATAGAATATGAAACCAACGTAATTGGATCTCTTGTCGATCGTTCTATAGTCTAACATTAAACTACTCTCATTAGTGCTTGTGGATCGTTTAATTTTCCCAACATCATACGTAACAAATATGCATCGACAACAAAGAGAAATTCATCAGTTATGCAACACTGAAGATGGCTGGATTGGAGTTTGGAAACATAACAAAATGCAGCTCATTCATCAGCTCCAACACCTGGTCTTTCCCTACAACCATCCTCAACCTCCTACCACAATTACAAAATATTGGCTCATTACCTAACCCAAACCCCAACAACAAAGACAAATTCATTTGGCTTCCATCTAATTCCAATCAATTCTCTATCTCAAAGACAATGAAGCACTTCAACCAGCAACATCCTACCCTACCTTGGCCTCATCTGGTCTGGTCCAAACCATCCATTCCAAAGCACTCTTTCACACTTTGGGTTGCCATTCAACATAAGCTGCCAACACTCAACAAGAGGTGCACAGCACACATCAACTCAACATTATGCAGTCTAAGCAATACTGAAGATGAATCCCATGATCATCTATTCTTCTCTTGTACATTTGTCAAACCATTGTGGAGTTTTTTACAAGCAAGATGTGGTTTCTACACCCAACCATCCTCTTAGGCAGAATTTGTTGTTTGGGCATCGCACCATTGGAGGGGGAATTCAAGATTCAATAGCAATGCAATATCTAAGTTGGGATTAGCAGCCCTTGTCTATCATATTTGGACTGAGAGGAACAACAGAATTTTCAAAAAGAGAACACTCAGTGCTAATTCAATCCTTCACCAGTTCTTGGAGACAGTTCGAGCAAAGCTACTTACCTCTACAATCACTGATTTTCTCCACACTACCAGAATTGCTTTGGAATGGAATATCCCTGAAGCAGTGATTCGTCAACCTGCAAAACCACCTGGCTTGAACTGCTGAAATTCTTCAACACTGCTGGATATTAGCTCCCTGATCACCGGATTGTTGTGTTCAATTTCACAATACTATTGTTGGGCTGCTTTGTATGTCTTCATTGTTGTTTGTTCCCATTGTGCCTCTGGGCTGTGTTTGTATAGTTCTATTGTGTTAGCATTGGGCTAACTACTAGACTGTATCTTTCTCCATTTTAATATTAACTTTAACTTTCCAAAAAAAAAAAAAAACGAAGAGAACATAAAATAGAATTAATAACACACTCAACAAAAACAAACTTGACACACAAGTGAAGAACCACTATTTCAATATAGATAAAATAAAAAAATTACAACACTCACCGGACGAAAACAGGCCTTTCTTTTTAAAGAATACACTCAAGCCCTCAATAATCTCTCAACTCTTTCCTGTGTACTATTCCCTCTTTCGGTTCTTCACACCATGCACTTGTATTTATAGACAAGCCTTTTGCCGCCTTAACCTTTCTTCACCTTGACTTTTTCCCTAGCCTTTACATTTCTTCCACCCACACAAGCTTTGACTTTAGCATTTACATGCAAGTGCATCCCATTCATTCACTTCCACTAACGCATGCATATATAAGACTGACTATTTAAATTTATTAATCAAAATCAAATAATTAAGGTTATTATTAATTATTTGATTTTGAAAATAACATCTAATTGTTTCATTTTTTTTTATTATTATTTTTTATATTGAGTCGTTAAATTGAATCATTGACTCATCATTAGCCAAACATTCACTTAACAGAGCATAGCCAATTACACATCCGCCACCCACTTATAAACACACTCATTTAATTGTACGATTATAAAAAATTTAAAAAATAGTATATTTTTCTCCATTGTAGATAAAAAATCAAAATCCATCTTCACGATATATTATGTCTTTTTTTTTAAAAAAAAATGTTAAAATCAAAACTAGAAATATCGAGCAAAAATCTCAGTGACTATATATGGCTAAATCTGTTAAAAGAAAACCAGAAGAAAATAAGAAAAAATCTTACCTATGTTCAGCTCACCTTGTTAATGATGTTGGAGATAAATGTGCTTTTCGAAAATTTGACATTTGTACTTGGTTTCACAATTTTTCTTACATTTCTCAATTCTCAAGCTTTTCTAATAGTTAATGCGTACGAGTATATGTATGAATTGACTGGTCTGAGTGATGCACTACAGCATGGGTAAGGGTTTGACTTTAACTTGTTTGGTGAGTAAAGTAGTTCATAAATTGCCCATTAATAGACTAGTCACGGTTTCATTTTAGTGGCTTGGTGTAAAATGATTATAAAAACTCATGTAACAGCTGACTTTTATAAACAGCCATGGTCCCAAGTCCACCACAACAGGAGTAAATAATAATAATAATAAAAGAAAAAACAGCGCCATGCAGAGACCGAGAAGGGAGAGACGGAGTGCAAGGCGGTTCGGTATTAAAATTAATGGACCAAAAAAAAAAAAAAGTTAAAAATTAGGATAGAAAAAGGGGCTTAATAATGAAGATAGTTTTATGGAATAACATAACTTATATTTTGTAAATAAATTGAATTAAATAATCAAAGTAAATATAACATTTGAAATTAAGGAGATGCCACTGCTAAAAAAGTCATTTATCAACATCTGAGTAATCTTCACATTAACCGAAATATCAAGAATGTCAATGTAGTTTATCCTAATTTGTTTTAAGTTTCTTTCCATTCCTCTATTTTTTTTCTTTGAAAAAATTACTTTCAAATTACACTTATTATTTTTTTTTTTCGGAAGATATGTGAGTGATGCACTTAATTGACAACTGATATACAATATCATTCATAATACTATATCACAAAAATCATTAATTTATGATCTTTATCATTATCATTGAGTCACAAATATCATTTTTGTTTGCATATTCATTCACTAAATTGACACTCACCGGCCATTCCCCAATACAACATATGCGAAGTCGACAGCCGCCTACTCATCATAAGCACACACATCATCATACCGTACGAATCAACGTGAACCACTTTAATTTTTCGTCAATTCCCAACGCAATGTTTCTCACGTGGGCGATAACTTGTATAATTATACTCCACTCTCTCCATTTCAAAACAGAACACTTACTTGGGAACGAAGCTAATAACCAAGAAAGCTAGCCATCTATTTTCATTTCCAAACCAGCCCAGCACCACCATGTGCTCGTTAGAGAAGCGCGGGAACATCTTCTTCCTAAACTTAAACGGAGACGACGAGCACCGTTTAAACCCGACACTCATAGCTTCTCTCCGTTCGGCTCTCTCCGATGCCAAGTCGCAGTCCACTCGCGGCTCTGTATTGATCACCACAGCGCAAGGCAAGTACTTTTCCAACGGCATGGACTTCAAGTGGGCCCAAGCCGCCGCTTCCGCTTCGGCCTCTAAAGCCAGGCCACTTCAAACATTTCTGGAACTCTCGATGCCGACCATACCAGCCGTTACCGGCCACACTTCCGGCTCGGGGTTGATTCTGGCGATGAGCCACGACTACGTCCTCATGAGGGGCGATAGAGGTGTGCTCTACGCGAGTGAGCTCGACATAGGGATGACTATACCGGACGACTACATGGCATTTCTGAGGTCAAAGGTGGTTTCGGTGGCGGCTCTCCGTCACCTGCTGTTGAGAGCCAGGAAGATCAAGGCGGAGGAGGCCGTGGCTATGGGGATTGTACACTCGGCGCACGGTAGCGTGGAAGGCACGGTGGAGGCTGCGGTACGCCTCGGGGACGAATTAGGCAAGAGGAAGTGGGATGGCAAGGTGTATGCAGAGATACGGAAGGGGATGTACCCGGAGATACGTGACATTTTTGGGTTGGAGAAGAACACCATAGTTTCTATCTCTTCACGTCTTTGAAATATCAAAATGTGTTTTCTGTGTTTTATTGCTTTGGTTGTGTTGTGGGTATGCAAAGTAAAATAATAGTATTTTTCATAAACTCGTGAATCAAGTCAAGCATGCTTAATTATAATGTAAATTCGACTTATCCTTTAACTTAATATTCTTCTTCTTCTTCTTTTTATTTTATTTTATTTTAATTTATTTATTTTTCGCTCAAAGTCCACCCCGGTTGACTTGCAACTCAGTATCTTATTATCAACTCGAGTTAGGACTAAGATACATATATAAGCATAAAAAGGTGATAGTATTTGGTTGGGATGTAAGCGACAAAAGATCAACTAAAATTTACATTAAACTTATAAAAAGTGAACTATCATATGAATTCACTATGAACATATTTAGTAATTCATTTACTACTAATATAACAAGAAAAAAAATTATGAGTAAAACCTATCTTCTTAAAAAGTTAAAATTTTTTTTTTTTTTTTTTTTTTTTTTTTTTTTTTTTTAAAAAAACACTTTTAAAGTTTCATATAAAATTGGGTTTGATAAAAGAGGAAGAAGAGAAAAATTCTGAGTTATTGGAGCAAGGACAAAAAGTAAAACAGGCCCAACGCAAATATAGGTCCAATTGGAGCATCAATCTATTGGTCATTTCGGGTGAGTTCAAACAAACAGAGCATCAAGCCCGTATATGCTCAAAAGTTCTCTCGTGTTGTGATTTTGGATTCCCTCCATCAGTTTCCATTTTCGAGCCATTATCTATCTACGGTGTAATCATAATATAGGGAGCTGTTTGTATATGCTCTAACTGCTCTTGTTTGTGATTTTGGATTCTCCCCTCAGTTTGCATTTTTAACCCATTATCTAAAGCGTATGTTGAACAAATAATGACATGATAACTTGAAGGGAAGAAAATTTACTGTAGAGAAATTTTTTATTTTGTAGGGTAGAGAATCTTGAGATGTCAATTTAATCCGCCCCATCTCGCCCCGGTAGTCGTCTCGTTCTGCACCTATTAGACTGAGTTGGTAATCATCTTAATAGAGTTATAGAAGAATTCAAGTACTGAGTTTTAAACCCGCAAAAGTCCTAATCCATCCCAAGTTTCTTTATTTCTCATTATAATTTTATACTTTTACAACTTTTTTGTTAGTATGATGGTTAAATATTTGATTATACTAAAAGAATTTTACAAAATTTATCTTAAATTTGTTTAAATTCTAACTTGTTTTTATTTAAAAATATGTGTATCGAGGTGATATCACTGATATGAATTCACGCATATTGTGATATTTGGGTTGAACCGAGTTTGAGAATTTTTTTTTTTTAATGGGATGAATTTGGGAAAGAAATACCCGTTCGAACCTGCCATTTGTTAGGTACAAGAACGGATGTAGGAATTGTCAATATGGTGAGCTAATATTTATTTGTATGGGCTAATACTAGTAATAATTTTTTTGTTTTGTTTTTTGAGTTGGACTAAAATCAGGTATATAAAAAAAATATTATTTATTTTTGATGGGCAAGCCCACCCTTGGATCCGCCAATGGTTAGATAGGAAAGAAAAAAATTGGATGGAAGTGAGAAAAGAAAGCGTAGATGAGGTATTCCTATGGAAAAGGTTGTGTGTTTCTTTCTTTTTGTTAGAAGAGAATATAATAAACTAATAATATACTATGTTTGTGGAAAAAATGAAAGGGAAAGTTTTAATGATTTTTACCATCATATTCAATAATATTTATAATATTATAATTTATAAAGGATTATATAATTTAAAACTTGTATAATTTAGAATAATATTTAATTTAAAATTTTTATAATATTTTTTATATATTTTTTAATTTCTTTTGCTAATTTCTTAATGAATAAAAATTTATAAAAAAAGAAGAAGATATTCTTCCTATTCTACTTTCTTCCCTTATATTTTCTCCATCCACTAAAAGAAGTTGACTCCTTCGTTTTTTTAAGAAAAAAAAAAACATACAATTATACAATGATATGTCTACATATTTTTTAATCACCCAAAATACTTTGATTGGGTAGAATGACGCGTTAGATCGTCCGAATCATCATTGTATGACGTGTCATATTAGAGCAGCGAGTACAAACCTACCCTATAAACGTGAGAGTACAACGACCACATGTCTGACTTTCACAGAGTGTAGATCGGTATTGAATCGCTAAATTCAACCAAGCAATCAATTTAGAACCCCCCCCTCCTCTTCTCTCTTAGACGCCGTCCCCTGTTTTTCTCCTTGCATCTCTGTCTCCTGTCCGGAATAGATTTCTAGAGAGAGAAACTAGAGAGAGAGAAAATGGCATTCGTGTCTTTCGTTGGGAGAGTTCTCTTCGTCTCTGTCTTCGTACTCTCTGCATACCAGGAGTAAGTTATTCACTTCATTTTTCTTCTTCTTCTTCCATATGATCGTTAGATCTGCTATATTCAAACTTCATTAACGATGTGTTTTAGTACATATCAGATTTGGCTCTTCCCCTGTTCTTTTGTTTTGTGTGTGTGTCTGGTTTTTTTATTTTTTATTTTTATTTTGTAGGGTATGTGTCTATTGGTAGAAATTAGCTAGAATTATTTTGCTAGTCTAAAGAGAAATTTTTTGCTAGTGTATGTGATAGTAGACTTGGATCTCCTAAGTTCAAGAACTGGTTTTTAATTTTGATAAATTTTGATCTGAACACTGAACCACTCTTTAGATTTAAATTTATTTAATGTAATTATTGGTATTTGCAATGATTTTTCCTTTTTAGCACTATTAGATTAAGGCCCTTTTGGTAGCATTTAGCTTTACTCATTTATCTCTTACTTTCTCTTGTTCACATTACTTTCTCTCCTTTTTATGTGGGTGGACTTTTGCAATTTCATATTTTTTTCCTAACAAATTTTTTCCCATAGTTGATTAAATTTAAAAAATTGTTTTAAGTTGTGCATTCAGGATCTTCTTTAAGATTGAACATTCAGAACCACAAGTGGGTAGTTACTTATTCCCATTTTTGTATTGAACTAGGTAGTTAGTTACTGTATCTGGTTTAAATTTGATATCTTCATGTAAATTTTAGTTTATCTTTCCCTTCAAGGATTTGCTGTTGATTTTATGACAATTCCCATGATTCGAATTAAATTTTAGAAAGATTTCCTAATTGAATATGCAGTAGGACAAGGATTGTCTGAATGAAATAGGTTCATGACTTTTGATGGTCACTTGTTGAAATAGGCTCTTTGGGATTATTTGAACATGTCGAAAAATTCTCTCTGTAATTTCTTAAAATGTTCACTTTTCAGATGTGTTTCTTCCCCTTCTCAGAGAATACTTGTTTAATGCTTTATTTATGTCCTTTTGTCCTTCCCCTTCTTGTATATGGTGTTTTTAACTAAACCATCAAGAAAGCCAACAAAACCAAACTAGAACATTAGATGAGCACGGCTAGGTCTGGAGGTCTTATTTAAACATTATAAATATGTTAAATGTCTATGCGTGTGGATTTGATTATGGATTTTCTCGTCCTCGTGAAGGGGTGTGCATGGGTAGGTCTTGAGGTGCATTGCCTGTTTCTTTGTTTTTTCCTTTTAAGGTTCGATAAATGAATGGAAAACAGGCGCGTGGTGTCATGACAACTATTATAGGATAGGTGGTGAATTTTGGGGATGTCAATTTCACCCGTTTTTTATGGTATCATGCTTATGGTATCTTTTGGGTACTTTATTCCATTTAGCTGGGAATAAGTTTGTCAATTGAGTATTCTAATTGGAGGGGTGGACAGTTTGAATGAAAGGAAAGTAGAAAGGATAGAGAAATATCCATAAAAAAAGGAATGAACCTCTCATGTTTTTTGTTTGGTTGAGTAGGAAGGAAAGGAGGGACAAGGGAGGGGTATTGTGTGATTTTACTATCATTGGTTAAATATTAAATGCATGTTCGTTCTTGAGGGGACAAAACGTGAAAACTGAGAAGCCTTTTCCCTCATTTCCTCCCACGTTTTGGAGGAAGGAATATGGTGTGTGTGGAGGAAAATGTCCTTGCTTCCTACGTTCCCTTCTCTTTTCCATCTTCCACCAAACAATTAAAATGTCCTTCAGACATCCCTCCTTTTTCTCCCCTATTTTCTTTTCTCCAACAATGCCCTCTTACAACACCAGCCATAATTGGGTATTTTCTTAGCAGTGGCATTTTGGAACCACCATATTCTTCTCATCTTTATTATAGTTATAATAAAATATATATGTGGACGGTGGACCCATTCACAAAAATTGGGTAGTTTTAATAGGTGACTGTACAACACTTCTAACCGCACCTTACTGCAGTGATAGCCTCTATCCCCCCTCCTTTAAAGCCGATGGTGGCTGAGGGGTTTTTACTTTGTAGAGATACCACATCAATAGTATTTTTTGAATTGCTAGTTACATTGCTGATTATGCTCATTATTGCATCCATAAAGAAGTTACATCTTTTCACTATTTATTTATTTTCCCATTGTAACTGTTTTTATTGTTGTATGTAGTGTCTTTGCATTATGCCTAGATTGGTATACTTTAATTTTGTTTTGATTTGTTAGTAAGATAGGATTTCTCATTTGAATTTTTTTGGGAGTATTTCTTAATCAAGTTACTGGTTTGATTTTAAGGAATAGTAAATTTATCTAGTGCAGTTGATATGTTAATGGTTTGGCCATTTGTCGAAACAATGTTAGTGATCTTTATGGTTAATTGGTGTTGCTTTGCTGTTCATTTCTTTGACATATCAAGGTGTCAGTAAAACATGCCACCTGAGTTTTGCTCAGTGATTTTCTTCTAATGCATATATTCTACATAGAAATGCATTCTTTATAGAGATGTCTGTTTCAACACGTCAGTTATCTACAAATGCTCCTGTTAGCCAATAAGTTGTATGGCTTGCAAAGTTTACCTCTATCACCTGGAAGCCACATATTTTAGTTTTCATATAATAAAAAAAAGGACTAATTCTTTGATTTTTTTTAGTGAAGTAACCCTTAATATGCGTAATGATTAACTTGGGATTACTTGTAAGAAGAAAAGGATAAACTGATAAACTGACTCAGGATAATTCGATGTAACATGAAGCTCTTTCTGTTTATTTTAATCTTTTAAAAATTATATTAGGTTCCAACATCCATTGTTACGGATCACGTGTCCTTATGTTTAAGGGTAGAAGAAGTGATATAATTTTATACAGAAAAGAGAAAAGTAATAGCTCTGGTGTCCCCAAGACCTGTCAAGATGGTCTTTAAGTATTTTCCATATTATGTTTAAAAAAGTGAGTGTTGCGTCCCAATCACAACTTGAGAATCTCTCAAATGTGGACTGATGGTTTTCCTAAAATATGCATTTCTCTGTTTTAAATTATCATTAACCATTTTTCTTGTAGGTTTAATGATTTTGGTGTTGATGGTGGGCCAGCAGCGAAGTCACTTGGACCAAAGTTCAATGTTTTCTCAAAACACGTGTCAACTAATACTGGGCTGCAAGTTCCGGATATAGAAGTGAGATCCTTTCCCTTCCCTTTACCCCCATCAAATTGGGATAATGGAGTCATTTTTGTTTGTCAGCACATTTATGGAGACAAATATCATAGCTAACTTGGAGTAATGCTATTCACAGCTCAAATATTTAGTTGCTGCAGCTATTGCGATGAAGGGTATCGGAAGCCTTCTTTTCATCTTTGGCAGCTCTCTTGGAGCCTATATCCTGGTCTGTAATCTTAATTTATGTACTATTTATCATTTATATCAACTAAATCAACCTTGCTGAGTGTTGTTCCCCCTCTTTCCCTTGTGCAGCTTCTTCATCAGGCAATTGCCACTCCCATCTTGTATGACTTTTACAACTATGATGTCGACAAGAAAGAATTCACTCATCTTTTTCTCAAGTTTACGCAGGTAAGAAATATGGTCCTCTCTACGAATCTGTGGGGAGACTTGTATTCCTGTCCTCGTTTGTTGTTTTTTTAATCTCAAAGAGTCGAAATGAATGGATTGTGATTGATCAGTTTCATATTTTGTTTCCAGAGTTTGGCACTCTTTGGGGCACTGCTCTATTTCATTGGTATGAAGAATTCAATGCCAAGGAGATTACTTAAGAAGAAGGCTCCCAAAACGAAAACAGTATGAGAAGGAATGTCATGGGTTCAGAAAATTCACAATGCCAATGTGACAGAATTTGGTTCAGAAACCACTTTTGTATGTTTCTTTTGAGGCAGCGGTTTCTTGTTCTTCATTTTCTTCTTGTTTTTGCTCAACTATATATCTAACTTTTATTGTGTGGTTTTATTTCATCCCCGGAATTAATGGGAATTTTGGTATCTATAATCTCCATTGAAAAATAGGTTTTTGTTTGCTATCTTGGATTCTTAATTTGGTTTCCTATTGCTTTAGTGGGTCTAATTTGAGCGATATGGTATGTCTGAGGAGCAAATGATTGTTGAATCCTGATAGTTGGAGTTGATTCAGTTGATGCCTATGTTGTAGATGAGACTCTGATTGAGATCATCATATAACTGTAAAACAGAGATAATTATACTCTCCAAAGTGTGTGTCCATTGCAAGTAGCTCTTGGCGTGCCCAAGCCTGAAATATTGGATCTTTTGGCTCAAGGCTTTGCAAAGTTAGATTCAGATTTATTTTTAGGTCGAGAAGTGTTTTCGTGTTTTTCCAAGTAGAACCTTGGTGTTCAAAATTCTTTGCATAGTTTTTCCCTTTCCGTCTTATAATGTTTCTAGTTCTTTTTCTTGGCAGACTTCTTTTTCTTGTTAAACCTAATAGTCATTCGCGCTAATATTATTTGGATGATTGAATTTATGGAGCCTGTGGTTTTCATGAATTCAAATAACTTCTAAAGGTAATTATTGCTTCTCTCTTCTGAAGCTCGTTTGTCAGCTGGAATTGTTTGGCCGACATGGATTCCTCATCTCACTAATTTTTTAATAAACAAAGTGAAAAATAAAATAAAATAAAGAAAGATGGAAAGAGGAGAGCAAAACCATAATGTATCCTTCTTTTTCTTTTGCCCTTATTCCATCATTTCTTTATCTTCCTTTCTTGCCTATTATATATTCCGGAGAAAAGAGGGGAAGAAAAGAAGGTGAAGACGCCAACTCAGTTTATAATGAGCTCGGATCTTCCGCTAATCTCTCCTGTAGTGTTACTGTCTACTTACATCTAGCTGAAAGCTGAAATAAGTAAATGTAATAATAGTGTTGAAAAGACTACTACAATTCCAAAAAATTACGGCAGAGGATTTGGGCGAGTTCGGCAAACACTACAAGATCATATAATATAAAACATAAAGGGCAAAGACAACAGGAAGTACGAACAGTGACCAAACAGTGAGAAAAAATATAGAGGCAAACGAGAATTCACTGTATTACAGTCTGCAAAATCTCACTATACTGTTCTGTTGTTTAAGACTTCATCTTGTTTAATCTTAAAGTTGGCTATAAAAGTGAAGCATACATACAGAACGTGACGATATTATCATAAAGTTTGCTATACCGGAATACTAATGTTACTATAAATAGAATACTAAACAAAACTAAAATAAATCTGGAGATTTGGTCTCCATCAATCATCATTTATATTTTTTGTGGTTCATGTTTTTCATTAAAAATAATTACTGGTTCACAGGCTTGAAACTATCGTAATTTTGAAAGGTTGGCTTTTGAATTCAAAACATTTTGCTTTGTTTCTTTCTTTTTCCACGTTGATCAATTGTGGTGGCTGGACTATTGATTTTTCGATTGCATTATTGTTCAATGTTTACACGGCACGGCAAATTACGTGGCAATATGTTATTCAAGGAAAGTGAAGTATATTAAGTGGAATAAATTTAGTAATCAATTGTAATCCAATAGATTAGATTTAAGAATTAGTTTATTTTAGGACTCTTTATGATTTCTATAAATAACTGTAGAAGCGTTGTTTGTAAATTATGTTCTCTCTCTCATTCAACTCTCTCTCTTTAGCAACATTGCTATTCTCAGTCTCTCTCTTCTTCTTTCTCCCTCTATTTCTTTCTTCTATTTCTCTTTCTCTCCTTTTCTTATTTTGTTTTCACGATCATTGCAGTTCACTTTCTCAATTAAAGTCCGGTTTATCAAGGCAGTTTGAACCTACTTGAGAGTTAATATTCTTTTTCATACAATCATCTGATCCATAACTTTCTTGCAAAACAGACTCAGTTTGACCTAATCTCTTTACACTCGAATGAAGCTGTTGGTTCTGACACGCCCGCATACACAAATTTCTGAATCGGCATGCCCATTTTAGGGTCAACACCTAATTTCCTCACTCTTTCCACAAAGACTTCTCTTCCCCCTGAACTTCCTAAATTCTATTTGTAGAAACAATATTTTTTTTTTTGTATGAACTTTCTCAATACCTCGGCAAAACAAGAAAAATGGTGGTGACCAGCACATGTGAAGTTCAAGCTGAAAGTGAGCTGAATTATGACCGAACAAGCGAATTGAAAGCTTTTGATGACACAAAAGCTGGGGTTATGGGACTCGTTGAAGCTGGAATTACCAATGTCCCTCGGATATTCATTCATCCACCAGACAACACCGACAAGTCATCTGACTCGAGTTTTCCAGTCATAGACCTTGATGGCAGCCATGAAGATCCAATCCGGCACAAGGAGATGGTTGAGCAAGTCATAGATGCATCCGAGAAGTGGGGTTTCTTTCAAGTGATCAATCATGGCATCCCTGTGAGTGTTTTGGCGGAGATGATGGATGGTGTACGTAGATTCTATGAGCAAGATACTGAGGTGAAGAAACAGTGGTATACGCGAGATGGCACAAAAACTGTGGTGTATAACACCAACTTTGATTTGTATACTGCACCGGCAGCTAACTGGAGGGACACCTTTCTTTGTATTATGGGTCCTAATCCTCCCAACCCAGAGGAATTGCCCGTGGCATGCAGGTATGTAATCAAGAGCATGTAATTGTTATACATATTGAACATTTAGGTAGTGTGGACTCCCTCCTTGATAAATCATATGATGATTAGTACTAGACTCATTTCACAATTGATGGTCAACATCATTTAGGTTTTGTAATTCATAATTCATTTCAGCCTAATTGGATTTCCATACATTCTATGCTACGGTTGCTACCATATGCCAGAAATGTGCTAATAACAGGGATACATATATACATACAAACCATGAAATTCAGATTTCATGAATTCTGTGCATTGAGAATGAAATCATCCCTAAAAACTTATACAAAGAAATAACAAAGGAAAAAGAAAATCACTACAAAAAATTATGTTCAGTTCAGTTAAGTAAGTCCGTAGTTAATTTTCTTAGCAAGGGACTTGTAGTCTTGTGCCAATGGTTTGAACATAAGCCTATATGGACTGAAGCTATAAGTCATTCATGCCATATAGATTTTAATTCCAAAAGTTATTCCTTTGGTAGCACTTTATGTGCTTATTTACTATTTCTGCAGGGACATTCTAATCGAGTTCTCAAAGCAAGTAATGAAATTGGGCAATTTTTTGTTCGAGTTGTTGTCAGAGGCTCTTGGGCTCAATCCCAACCACCTGAAAGACATGGGTTGTGCTGAGGGGCTCGCTGTTCTATGCCATTGTTATCCAGCATGCCCGCAACCAGAACTAACCCTTGGTGCCACCAAGCACTCTGACAACGACTTCCTCACCGTGCTTCTACAGGACCATATAGGAGGCCTTCAAGTTCTTCATCAGAATCAGTGGGTTGATGTTCCCCCTAAACCTGGAGCTCTAGTGGTAAATATAGGAGATCTTCTACAGGCAAGTCTTTTATTTTGTTGATTTTTTGTGTCCCTTTAAAATCATAGCAATTGATATGCACTATGGTGTCTATTACTTACCATATTATGATTATGAAAATAGTCTCAATGAACCTAACAATAGTCTTACATAGTATTTTAGAGAACTGTGTGTGATCAAAATTTTGATGTAACTTGAGATTTGAGAATGATGAACATCATTTACTCTGTTTTGGTTTTTTCAGCTTATGACAAATGATAAGTTCAAAAGTGTTGAACACAGAGTAGTAGCAAACCAAGTCGGTCCAAGATTATCTGTGGCGTGCTTTTTTACCACAGAGTTGTTGCCATCCCCAAAAATGTACGGACCCATTAAAGAGTTGTTATCGGAAGAGAATTCTCCAAAGTACAGAGAAACCACCGTAAGAGATTATGTAGCCCACTTCCATGCAAAAGGACTTGATGGCACTTCTGCACTGGAGCATTTCAAGCTCTAAACTTGGCATTACTCTGTAGTTGATCATCATATTTGTAAACTGTGTTAACAGTTAAACATGTTTGAATGTTATTTGTAAATTGTAATTTGTGACATTTGTGTTGGGAAACGTGCTAGTTTTAAAAACTTTTCGAGGGATTTAAATTCATAGACTTTGATTCATTACATAGAGACAAGTTTTATACAAAAATAAAACATGATGTATCATTCAATTAAAAGATTGAATACTTACATCAATGTTTGAGTAAATCTTAGATCTCTCCTCTAAAGTGAATGTTCTCACTTATTGTAGATCCCTTAGTAAGATGCATTCTCCTTAGATCTCCATCTTCTTGGTAATTATTTTGCCTTTAGGAATCACTCATATGTCTCCATGAATGACCTTGGAAAACTAGGCTTGTGGGAGCCTCCATTATATGAGAACATAAACCCTAATTTTCTAGAGAGAGAAAATATATTCCTTTTTCCTTCTACTAAAAATCACCCCTAAAATATACATAAACCATGTATATTTATAGGCAACATAAAAATAAAGAAAAGGAAACAACAAATCATTCTCAATCTCTAATTCACATGTCTCAAATTTAATATGATTCCAATATCAAGTTGGGTTATGAGTGAGAATCCATTGGGCTTATTATTTTATTGGCTACAATGAATTAATAATTGGCCCAGTCCATGGACCTATTCAATTAATTCATAAATTAATTTCTACTCCACTAAAAGAAATTAATTGAACTCCAATTAAATAATAAATAACCTCTAAGTCAATATTGCACTTTGACCCCTTTATGCATAATTAGTTATCGGATAAATAAAGCCATCAATCCGACTACTTAATTAATATATTTATTTTGGTACCTTTGATTATTTCTAACTCGATCACAATAAAACATTTGTTTGACAAAAATAATAATTTAAATAAATAAATATATAATAAATCATTTTGTCTAAAAACACACGAAGGCCTTCGAATTTACTTTGTGATCAACCATAATCAATACAAAATAAATACAAATAGCAATGATGCAAATATTGAAAATATAACCCTCTAACTATTAATTACATAACTACCCAAAGTGTCGGTCTAAGGATCCCGAAGAATCCGTCGAACAAATTAAAGTAATTATTAATTAATAAAAGAGTCTATACTTTTCTCATGCTTAAGAGTCAAATGCCATGACGGTGATTGGGAGTAATTACATACGACGGCTTTCGCAATATATCTCAACCTAACGCGGATCCAGTTCAAGTCTTAATTAATTATGAGTCCATCCATAATTACCGACTATGAACAATTTATAATTACTATTTATATATCATGCATTGATTGCCATCACATACATATATATAAATATTTCTTGTAATTACAGGGACACTATCAATTTCATAGTGAATCGAAACATAATACATTGAATTCACCAATTATATAAATCATAAATATTTCAGATATGTCAGGAACACATGTCACTATAATCCAGATAGGAATTTGCTATGCCAGGGCATATAAATCCCAACAGCTCCCACTTGCCCTCATAGCTAATTCAAATTGCACCTAACTTCAATGTTATCCAGATGATGATCAAAATTATTGATCAATGACACCTTTGATAATGGATCAACAAAGTTGTGTTCCAATGCAATGTTCTAACTACAAGTGCATTTTCTTGCCGGACAATATCATGTAGAACATGATACTTCCTCTCAGTGTATCTTGTTCCTCTATGGAACCTTGGGTCATTGGTTTGGACTACTTCTGCACTATTGTCACAACATAACTCAATAGGCAAGCTAATATACTCCACAACCTCTAAATCAGTGAGATCAAACCAATAGGCTTCCTTTGCCGCCTTTAAGGCTGCAATATATTCCACCTGCAGGTTTGAGTCAACAGTTGAAATCTGCTTAACAATCTACCAACTGATCTCCCTTCCATTAAGTGAACATACACTAAGTCATGAACCTCATAGTATCTACTTCTGATTTAAAATCAGAACTAGCATACCTGACTAGGACTATATCATCACATCCATAAATGAGTATGATATTTTTGGTTCTCCTTAGGTACTTAATGATATTTTTCACAATAGACCAGTTGTCAAGTCCAGTATTGGACTGATCTCTACTGACTATCCCTACTATGTAACGGATGTCCTGTTTGGTATAGACCATGGCATATATGAGACTCTCATATGCCGAAGCATATTGTTCCAGTCTCATTTGCTCAATCTCCTTTGATAGTCTTGAAAAACTACTTACTAGAGAGAGCCATCCACATCAATAAAGCAAGAACTCATTCTTTGAGTTATGCATACCAAACCTGGTCAAAACTTTATCAATGTAGGATTATTAAGATAAGCCTATTTTTCTTTTAACCTGATCTTGCAAAAGCTTGATCCTAGGAATATAGCTTACATCCTGAAAATCCTTCATTTAAAAGTAATTGAACAACTACCTCTTTATTGATGACAAAACTTCCACATCATTCTAAATTAGTAGGATGTCATCAATATATATCGAATCAGAAAAATAATGGCATTCCCTTGTACACTCATGATTTATTCACTAAGAAATCTTCTGATATCTTTTTGTAGATTAACTTGCCTTCTATAGGAATCACCCTACTAGAAAATTCTACAAGATCCCAGAATTTATTAGAATACATAGATTCCAACTCTGATTTCATAGTAACTCGCCAAAACGATCTGTATCCATATCGGTTCACGCTTCCGTGTAGCTTACTGGGTCCAACTCATGTTTAACAGGGATGTCCATAATGGTCTCACCTAAAAACATGATTCTGTCGGATTGGATGATAATCCTCCCACTACATCAATGTACTGATGCAAGAATCTGTGTAGTAGATGATGTTAACGCATCAATAGGGAATTCATATATTATTCTCAATCTCTATAATAAGTGTGTTCACATGTGGTACATCTGGTACTCATACCATATTCTCTAACATTATGTTACTAGGTGTGTGATTCATAATATGATTCTCCTATAGATAAACAGTGAGTGTAAACAATCAACTTTTATCTTTGAGATCATAAAATAATCCATCCTAGTGACTTAAGAGTAGCTATCAAATCTAGCATGCCTATGATCTGCTTCCAACTTACTTGTCCATATCAAACGCACATGTGCAAGACTACCCCATACGTGCATGTGATTCAAACTAAGATTTAGTCAAAAACACAGCTCAACGGTATCCTTGAGACAGACTAAGATGGAATGCAGTTCATAATGCGCATCGATGTCATTAACGCTAAACTCTTAAATGAAACAGATAATGTGGCATAACTAATCATAGATCTAACCATGTTAAGTGGAATTATGTTATTCCTATTTGACACCTAAATGCATTTAGCGTCAATTGCGGAAAACTGGTACACAACACCGTCATTGATCATATAGTCTTTGCACTATCCCAAGAAATACTTATATCCTCGATCAGATGGAAATGTCTTGATAAGTTTACCTAATCTGTGCTCCACATCAGTCTTGACCCTCTCAGAATATACCAAAAGTATAAGACTTGTGTCGCAATAGGTAAATTTATCCAAAACGTGAGTAATCTTGCTTGGATGTTCACAAGACCACACGTGTCTGTGTGTACCGACTCCAATTATTCTTTATATCTATTTCATTTGGCTGATTAAGCCCTTAGAGTTATCTATCCTTCAAAACAGGATTCACAAGTTTGGTTTAGGTTCCTCTGCCTCACTAGATAATAAACCTTCTTTGACCAATCTTTGAATCTCATTTTGATTGATTATAACCCAAAAATTGATACCAAAAAATACAATGAGTCAGGAATAACAAATTTTCTCTTAACATTCAATCTAGAGATGCAACATTAGTTTCTACATCCTGCAAATCTTAAGAGTTTGTGATTATAGTATATTAACCATCTTTCAATGCACCAGAAGCAATCCCATATCTATTCAATTTTATAAAACCAATTTTACAAAATAACAACACAGTTTTTTTTTATAAACCACAAGTGAAACAAGAAGAAGATAGCGTCTAACTTCTGTGCATAAAGATAGTTCTCTAATACTAATATCCTCATACTCTCTAATTTCAGATGTAAAACTCCCACTGACTTAGCTACAACCTTGACATCAGGTCAGGTACAAATATATTCCATATCATCGAGGCTTCTGGATTCCTGAAATCCTTGCAACGAATTGCAAAAATGTTTAGTGGCTCCAGAATCTATCCATCAGGAATAAATAGATACAACCACATAACATGGCTCAATGATTAAATATATATTTTCCTATGCCACGTCATTGCTTAGACAGTTCGTCCTTTAGTGTCTTCGTTAGCAGCAAAAGAAACAATTTAATTTGCCCTCAACATACACTGCCTTATTCCCTTTAACCTTTTGGATATCCATGTTTTGTGCTAGCCTAGTTCTATTATCATCCTTCTTCTTTACTTTGCCCTTCCACTTGGGCCTAGAAGAAGATGGTATAGACTAGGTTAGATTAATAGGAATACTTATACTATTTGATTATCCTTTCATTTGTTACCAATTCTATAAGAATATCAGCGAGTATAAACTCAAACTAATTCCTTATTTAGTTCACTCTAAAAGAGTCGAACGAGTTTGGTAACAAGGCAATAATCATGTCAGCTTGAAACTTACCACCCAAGTCAGCTCTATTGATCTCCAGCTAATTTTTAAATAATAAACAATCATTTTCCAAAATTCGATTTCATACTGGAGTTCCTTAGGCTATCTTGATGGTGTTCAAGTCTGACATAGTACGTAGGCATACGCCCTATCTAATCTCACCAAAACATCATATTGACATTTAACATGATGCTTGAAGAAAATAAAATAATGTAAATGTTAGCTTTGGAGCGTATTCGAGATAAACTCTAGAATATTGCACCAAGTCATCTCATTTGTCTTATTTCACTTATTCAAAGCATTAATGTTCTCTTGGGTATCTTAAAGTAAAATGATTAGGTTTAGGAGTAGTAAATACGTTTGTACCCTTACGTTGTGAATAAAATATCTAAATTCCTTTCCCAGTCAATATTAATGAGGTCCAGTTACATTGAATATGTAAGCAAGCAGATAAACTGGATTAGACATAATTAAATTGAATATAAATGCATTCATACAATATGCAAGGTGAATTATTAATACTGTCATGCATATTTAAAATTAAAATGAGTTTGTTTACCACATAATATAATAAATCTCAATCGAACAAGAGATCATTATC